ACAAAAATAGATACGAGGTAGAAAATCTGTATGTGAAAATTTGTTAGCTAATTATCAATAATCCTGTATATTAGATAAATTGATACTGGAAAATCTTAGTAGAGCAACTTTCCACGCTACGGCCAGAAAGATAACTGCGGTGGCGGTACATGAAGTGGCGGGGCAGGGAGGGTGTAGATGTGTCACCAGAACGCAATTTTTCTGTTTTGCTCTGAAAGACTGGGCTCTTAAGCGACAGGTGAGTGCTAGTTTTAGCACTAGCGTCGAGCACTACACGTAACTTAGATGTAAGTTTGTCCTCCCTAATGACCCCGTGGTGTGGTATGAAATACGACGGTGTGTCTTCGTAGTTATCTAATTTCGAAGCCACGAGTGATATGTAACCTTCTCTTATATATTCGTTAATGACGCCGTCGTAAGCTTCCTTTAACTGGGGTAAAGCGAGCATCCTACGCTCCAAGCTGTAGAAACGTTTTTCCGCCATTTGACGCGAATCGCCGAGAGATAAAACATCTCCCTTAAAGGGCAGCGCTACACTATATCTACCGTCGCGATCACGAACGGTCGTGCGGACGTAAATTTCCTCGCATAACCTGTCATCTGAGCTAGCTATGGGTGGGACGTTCACCTCCTCCATCTCCCAAAATTTGCGGACTAACGACTCGACCGGTTCGACAGCCATACCACAATAAGAGGTTGCCGAAATACTATTTATGATGGGGGCGGAGCCAATGATAACATAGCCCAATACGGTTTCTAGTGCGTAAGGCGCGGTATGCGAGGAGTTGCCCCTGACCTTATTGTTTAACAAAAGATGAGGGAAAAGCGATGCTTCAATGAGCATGTCTATGTTTCCAGGAACGGCGTAAGTGTCGTCCGCTAGAGTCAAATTTTTAAATTCAATCATTGCCGAGGTGTCAACCGAAACGGTTGGCAACCGTTCAGTGACCCTATCTACTACTAGTGCATTTATATCAAAGTTAACATTACGATCTATCCAAGAATAAAATTTTAAATTAATATATCCCTGGGTAGCTTTACTAGTACCTCCGATGCCTTTAACTACAGGACATGAAAGTGACCTATTTATTACTAAGCCTAAGCGCTGATAACATTGTCGTGTTATAAAGCTATTTTGGGCTCCGCTGTCCAGCAGTGCACGGACCCTTTGTTCGTTTCCACGCGAATCCCTAACCAAAATATGCGCCGTACCCAGTAACACGGTTGAAGGAGGTTGTGCTCCCATATTCGCCAATGAGCACAGAGCGACATCACCAGGTCGACCGCTAGAATCGTTGACCTTAGTAGGGGTGAATTCCTTGTCCGCTTTACTTGACGCCGCTATGTTGCTATTTTCAAAATGTAATAGCGTGTGATGTTTCTTGGCGCACTTGCTACATACGGAACTCGAATTGCATTTTGCAACTAAATGCTTATCGCTTAAGCAGTTCAAACATAGGTTGTTTGTCTTTACTAATTTATAACGTTCGCTTGGTGAATATTTACGAAAAGTCGCACAATTATATAAATTACCGTGTTTATCTTTACATACGATACAAGTATGCTGAAGTGATGTTGACGTCGCGGTTATGTAAGTTAACGACCCTGCTATTTTAGATGGTTGAGTCTGTCTACGGTCGACGCACCTTTTAATCTCCTGTTTAACGTTCGGAGAGCGCTGCATCACCTTTATTTGATCTCGCACGAACGATGCTAATGAATGAAAGTAAGGCATCTCCGAGCTACGATGCTCCATTTCAAACGCACGCACGGAGTCGGGGTCTAATTTCTTTAGTGCAATATGGAGAAACACCACGTCCATAAGGTCATTAAAATTTAAATTCTTAAGTGCAGCCACCGATGCCACAAATTTATCTAGAAACTGCTCTAAGCCGTTGATGTTCGCGGATGATATAGGTTTAAGATCGAATATCTGGTTCAAATATTCGGAAGCTAACATTCTCCTATCTTCATATTTAGTTTTAAGCGTTTCGAATATTAATAAGTAATTGTTTGCTGTAGGTGTAAAACCAGAGCAGATCGACTGTGCCCTGCTACTAAGTTTACTAATTAAGTAATATAATTTTTCAGCGTCCGATAACGATGGGTTATTGTGTATATTGTTTTGAAAACTACTGAAGAAGAAAGGCCACGTGTTAATATCACCATTGAATACCGGAATATCTATTGGCGGCACCCTAATTGAGTCACGAGGACGTACCTGTAATTCCGGCCTTGCTTCGCTTTGAGATTGTAGGAGTTTTGCCGTTCTTTTCACGCGACACAACATATCTTCGAATGCCAGCAGCGGTTGGTAGTTCACTATGTATTTCGGGTCGATTTTTAATTCCAAATGATTAATTTGGTCTAATATTCTTTCGTAATCCGTCCGCAAAGAATCCACCGTTTCAATTTCATTCAGAAAAGTTTCCCGCACCGCTTCTACATTAATGTTCTTTATATGATCGCTAATATTTTGTATACGTGAAAAAAGTACGTCCCTCTTGGCATAAAGCGTTTTAATTTTAAATTATTCATTTCCACTAACTGCCATTTTAAATTATTATGACAAAGTTATTAATCACAATTAATCTCACACGCATAAACGATGGACGATGGACACTCGGTATGCCGTATTACGTAATTAAATCGAACACCTGCTACAGTCGAGGCGACGCGTTGCTCGTTGCGGTAACTTAATATTTTTATCAAATTATCGGGTAAGCGTACCACACGGTTGCTATTACACTGTTTTAATTATTTAATAAGCTTTAAATTTAACCAAATACGAGCGCTATAAAATAAATAATTCTGTTTGCGAGTACCTAATCAAATTTTAAATTCAAACGAACACTATTTAAGACTATTCCGTAAACTAGAGTGCATTATCTAAATAATTAATCTAATAATTCGACCAGAAAATGGTTGGATGACCACTAAACACCAATCCAAATCCGGCTCGAAGGACCATAAAATGGTGGAGCCACGTGTTTAAGGCTGCCGAAGTCTAGTTCCCCGGTCGAACCTTAAACCTATTACGCGAGATATTAATCTAAGTGGACTGTATCTACTAATGCTTCTACACTTATATATGCGGTACAATGCACTCGCTCTTCCCAAAAAAACGAACTATTATTTGCCAAATCGATGAAAGGAATCCTGCTTGATTAGGAAAACACAAAATTGGAGCGGGTTAAAACGATTATATCAAGCAGGCAATAATATTGGATATTGACTCACCGGGATGTTTCTTCTATGCGGTCGAGCACTATAACTGCGACTTCTGGAACACTCCGGAGAGGGGCCGTGCGCGACTATATGTCACACGAGGTGAGGCGGGTTTCCTGGAGCTCGATTGCTTCCAGGCTAAAGCGGTTCTACTAGTAGTGTGGTTCCAACAACGAGCGCGGCGGGAAGAGACTGCGCGTCGGTCGCGCGTGTCTTATATATCCTCGGTTCCGATGATTACGTGACATTCTAGAATCATCTTCTTTCCCCTCCCACCCCACCACCCCGATGTGTCGATAGGAGGGTATGAATGATATCGTTTTGGAATGGGATAACCGATTTGGCAGCCTACCGTCAAATTAAGTAAATACGAATGGTTTTCCGCGCAACCAGAAATGATTTTAATTTTTTGCTCCATATCGTGACTTACTATACCTTAATGCACAACCGGGGATATATTCTTTAAAAATATTTATTAAATTTATGAAACGAATGCGTCTTGACCTACCTTTCAATGATGGCACTAAGACTAAATGACAAAAATCGGAGATATATCCTATAGGACAAAAGTTAAAAACGACATTTTGTTGCTGATGTCCCGTCTATTACTACTACATACTTAAGTGTCTTTGCATTTAACAGATTTCATAGCGGGGAAGTTAATTTGTTTGTGAAAATGTAAAGGTTAATGATTCTTTCCGTACTATTAGTTATATTTTATATTATATAAAAACAGATATTTATAAAAATTAAAAAAAAATTAAAGATGTGCAAAAAATTAAAGAACAAACCACTAAGGCATTTTTTTTAGTGTATTAACATAATAGTCTACTCTAGAAATTAATAAACTTTTATTTGAAACCAAATTCTCAATTAAATGACACTGTGTAACAAAAAATTTCACCTCTGTGTCAACTAGCGACATTTGAAGTTAGCTGTTTATGAGTACAAGTAGATGAAGTTAGTCGGATAATGTACAAATTTTCTGCGCGGCATTGGTGAGAAAATAATCGTGCTCCGTATTTTTTGACAAAAAGAAACATTAAAAAATGGTGTAATATTGTATTGTACGTGAATGTGCAAGTGGCTTAGCATCTGATCAAAAAAATAGACTGAAAATGACTTTTATTGAGACAACTTAGCGATCGCAGCGACTCACTTATTTTGTCCATATTTCTGGGACACTATTTTCTACAGCGATCGTTCTCCTTCTCTCTAACCTCCATGGGCATATACTTTTAGTCATGAAGATTGAGAACAGGAGAACGATCACTACGTACTAAAGCATAGCCCGCCTGTCCTTGAAAATTGTAGAATGTATAGCGGCGCTGACGTCGGTGAGTAGTGACTGCGAAGTTAGCTGTTTATGAGTACAAGTAGATGAAGTTAGTTGAATAATGTACAAATTTACATTTCATTTTTAATGAGAAAATTTTCATGCTCCGTAATTTTGTAATTTTTACAAAAAGAAACACTAAAAAATGGAGAAATATTTTATTGTGCGTGGATGTGCAAGTGGTTTAGCATTTGATCGGAAAAATAGACTCAAAATGACTTTTATTGACTGAACCTCGAGCGATCGCAGCGCCTCACTTATGGAGTCCATATTTCTGGACACTATTTTCTACGGTGATCGTTCTCCTGTTCTCTAACCTTCATGCTTTTAGTTATAAGTGACATACTACATAAACACGGAACCTATAAGTTCCAAACCAACACAGGATGTCTAAATAACGCGAAAATAATAATAAAAATACTGTCGCTTAACTTACCTTTATGTGTGTATGGCGCCATATTCAAGTCTTGAATAGGAAAGGACACCCTGGCCCCCACTTTAGCACTAAACATCAGTTCATGGCGAAACCGTTTTAAATGTACGCATAACACTTCGGGCAGCCGAACAACGCCAGACATCTTGACACCGTTACGTAATTTGTTGCATCGGGAACAACTAGCAAGGAAGAAAGAAAAGCCAATACATTTTTAAATATTTTTTTGACACTAAAAAGGCCGTAAAATCTGAAATTTCACCTTAAAGCCTTTTATGCCGAAATATTCAAACGCTACTCAATGCTTTTTACGTGTTAGAGCCACGCTACAGCTATATTATAGTTGTAGCATGAATGGGTCGGCTCGACCGGGGGAAGGACCACGCTCTCACAGAATGCCAGCGTAAAATAGTGGCTTAATGCTGCTGTGTTTCGTATGGTGAGTGTAGAGAACTTTAGACCCTTTTTACTGGAAACGATTCATTCCATCTCTTCACGGGTGACAACGCATCTGCATTTTGATTCGTAATCGAGGATAGATGTAGATGTCTGTGGGCCACAGCAACCATTTACCATCAGGTGGACTGTGTGCTCGTTTGTTACCCTCATTCTATATTAAAAAAAATGTTAAGCTTCATGCTGTCTTTTTCACATTTTTAGTCAATGTGACCGTGACACCACGAGACTTAACGACATCTTAAACTTGAGTAGGGTTTGAATATTTGGCTATTAGTTGCTTAATTGATACAGAAATACAAAAAATATTCTTCATTAATAATTTATCTTTTCTAATCTGATGATGGAATACTATGGTTAATAGTTAAGTCTTCATGTGGTAGAGCCACTGTGCAGCTATATTATAGTTATAGCATGAATGGGTCAGCCCGACCGTGGGCCCATACAGAACACCAGCGTTAAATACAACCACTGCTATGTTTAATATATTGAGTGGAAATGAGGCATTAAATTTCAGTCCTGAGGTGTGTTTTTTTTGTGTGGACAGTGTGCTCGTTTGAGACCCTTATTCTATATTAAAAGAAATATAGACCCCTTTTACTTGACTTTTCACTTGACTGCTCAAGGCCCGTTGCATTTTAATTCTTAATCGAGGATAGATGTAGATGTCTATGGGCGGCAGGATCCACTTACTTAATAAAAATACGTGCAATACGTAGATAAGACCATTATACGGTACGTTTAAATTTTAAAATAAACTCAACATCATGTAGTACCTGTACATATTATCGCCTTTAAGCTCGTCAGCGCTGAAGAAAGCGGCGAGACAGTCTTGTAACGATACTACTGGCCCGTAGAACCACGATCTCAGCCAACTCAGCAACCACCACACCTGTATCATTTGAACATTCTTATTTTAACTTGTATATAAAACATGCCGTCAGGAGCCGTGGTAGCTCAGATGGTTAGCGCTCGCTGTAAATTTCACAGTACGAGAGCAAACCGGGTTCGATCCCCGCGGGCACCAATGACATTGTTAATTGCAATTTTAAGTACTGATTTGCCACGTGCTCGGTGTTGAAGGAAAACATCGTGAGGAAACCAGCATGTCAGAGAAATAAGAAAAAAATATTTCGAAGACATGTGAAGTTCGCCAACACGCATTGGGGCAGCACGGCGGACAATTCGTTGCCCTAAAACGCTCTCAGAAATGAGCGGAGGCCTGTGCCTAGCAGTGGGACGTATATAGGCTGTAACTGTACTTTAAAACATGCTACGTTTAGCGTCAAGTGACCGCTTGGTAGAACAGCGGCAGAGCATTTCCTTGATGTGGACACAAAACTAGACCCCGAACAATTATTTGTATGCCGTAAGTACTACGTACGTACGTAAGTAATACGTACAGCATACAAATATATGTACCGTGTGAGACCCGAACACGCGGCCCTGCAGCGCAACAGCAAAACGCTTAGCCACTGCGCTACAGACGCCACTCTACGCCATCCGATCCTAGATTAGTTTTTTTATAGCTTTACACATCACATCGGGTCAACAGCCATCCATATTTTTTTAAATTATTTATTTAAAAACTATTGTTTTAACCATAAAGTATACAAAAGGCAGACTTGATGCCAGTTAGCATTCTCTGCCAGTCAACCCATGGTGTGGGGAAAAATTACTGGTAGGTCCCTTAGTAACAAAATATAAAATTATATTAAAATTATTTGTGCATATAAATACATAATAATCCATATATACCAACTTTATTTAACATGTGTGTTATATAAATTATACATACATATATAATATATCTAAACAAAGGTAGTAAGTACTAATTGATGTTAATGCACTGTTGTTTTCGAAAGATGTTTCCAAACCAACCAACAAGCATCAGATCTGGCACTTTCTTAGAAAAACTTTGTCCATCAGTGAACTAACAGTTTCTTCTTGTCATTAAGAGTGTTACCACACCAATCGATCGATCGTCTATCTATGGCATCGATCGATGATGGAATGGATTAGTCGACGTCGATCGAGCTGTTTGATTATTCGAGAACCCGCCCCGCTCCACTGACAGCTATTTAAAACGATGTCTAGATGCATTTAAGCGTGTCTGGCCTTACAAATGGTCAGCTCCAGGGTCTTTTGCGTTTGCGTCTCCGTAATATTAATACAAGCAAGAGCGTACTTGCCAACAATAACGTATAACTCCTCTGAATACATTTTGAAAGATACCCGCTTGGTTGAGTCTGGGTACTACACTGCCCAAAGACGAACGGCGTTAATTGAGTTTGGGTACTCTACTGCCCACACCTACCTACATATATTAAAAGGAAAAAAGGTAAAAATCATTTGCGTTAACGATGAAACAAGTATGTAGGCATAATTGGTATGAATTCCTTTAACTTTTAAATAAAAAAAATATTTGAGATATGAGTAGGTCGATAAAAAGTTATTTTATGTAATTTTATTTGTAAATTCTTTACGTAAGGTTATGTTTGAAGTCTTGAAAATAAAAATAAAATCTACATGATTAATTTGTTTTTTTTTTCGCATACCTAATGATTCCAACTATATTTTGCATTCGTAAAAAGAAGTGATCATCGCTTTACTTTTCGAAATATAATTTTATGAAAAAAAAATCGCGCAAAAAAATTATAAAAAAATCTCTTTTGCGAAGTTTGGTTTAAGATTATTATGAAACATACTTGTTCAGAAAGCAAACATTTATTCTTCGACAGTTATATAAACATCACTTTGTTAATGAATTTTGAGAACTACAGTCATCAATCAATTGTTTATGTAACATGACCGACCACCTGTGACGAACGATTTATCTTTAGTGGCGTGACTCAACCGACGGGTTTTTTTAACGCACGCCAAATTCACGCTACTAAATTGAAGGGATATTGATAATGAGCCCACAATCCCACCCACACACAGCCCACACAGAGCCCACATCGATTAACTGTCGATCGATGATTGAACAACGTTTTATCGACCAGTATTCCTTCAATCAGCTAAAGCTACCATACCAATCGATCGACGTCGATTAATGGTATCGATCGACGATCGATTGATTGGTGTGGTAGCACTCTAATGGCAATCGAATGGCTTATAAATATTGTAAAGTATGTAACTTATCTAATACAAAATAGTGATTGTGATATACGCATGGAGGTTAGAGAACAGGAGAACGATCGCCGTAGAAAATAGTGTCCCTGAAATATGGACACCATAAGTGAGGCGCTGCGATCGCTAAGTTCGCTCAATAAAAGTCATTTTCAGTCTATTAAATATTTCTCCATTTTTTAATGTTTCTTTAATGTTTAATTTTTTTCATAATTTGTACATTATTCAACTAACTTCATCTACATGTACTCATATACAGCTAACTTCGCAGCCACTACCCACCGACGGCAGCGCCGCTATAAATTCCACAAATTTTCAAAGACAGGCGGGCTATGCTTTAGTACGTAGCGATCGTTCTCCTGTTCTCTAATCTCCATGGATATATGGTTAATAAAAATTACCCATGACTCTTGCGATCCATTTGGAGTGTAATGGTTCAATATAGGTTGTTGACATCGTAACACTGCCAGGTGTTCTCGCGAAGGGATAGGAAGCGAGAGGTCTTGGAAAGTTTCGACACGCGTTGACACCTGTAACCGGGAGAGAGAAATAATTTTTCATAAGGAGGCATTTTCAGTCAGTCAGTGATTTACGTGGGTGTCGTAAAAGGCGACAGACTGAAAACTGAAACAGAACACGGGTAGCATCTTTCTTTTAATAACTCAAAAGCTTAAAACAATGAAAACCGCGCTTGCGAACTGGCCTGCCAAACATGGGAATTATTGCAATATCCCCCTTAAGAAGCAATCAATGAGGGAAGTCTATGTTAGTCAGTGGACTTGGTAGGGTGTAATGACTGAGGAGTGTCAATGAATGAATGAAAAAAATGCATATTTTTATATCTACACACACATACGCACGAGCGCGTGTCCAAATGCGCACATGTACATACGCACGCAAGCACACACATACACAAACACACACACACACACACACAAACACAAAGACACACACACACACACACACACACACACACACACACACATACACACACACAAACACAAAGACACACACACACACACACACACACACACACACACACACACACACACACAAACACAAACACACACACACACACACACACACACACACACACACACACACACACACACACGTCTGTGTGTTTATATAATATGATTCACTGCAATATTGTCGTATGCATTATCTATTACTTGAATTCGTCCCGTAGGTGACGTGGACGACGGAGAGAAGTGACAGAAAAACCTTCCGATTATTTTGTTTACGCCAAACGGAAAGTACTCAGAAAGGTTACGGACAGCGTTAAAGGTGCCCACGTCTGGTACTGTGATGGTCAATCCGCCTTTTTTTATAAAATAAGGGTGACAAACGAGCACACAGTCCACACGATGGTAAGTGGATGCTATGGCCCATAGACATCTACATTTAACCTCTATTAAGAATCAAAAAGCATGTGCATTGTCACCCCTGAGCACTAAGATGGAATGCCTCGTTTCCAGTAAAAAAGGGTCTCCGGATCTCTACTCACCATACGAAGCACAGCAGTATTAAGCTGCTATTTCACGCTGATATTCTGTGAGAGCGTGGTCCTCCCCCGGTCGAGCCGACCCATTCGTGCTACAGTCATAATATAGCTGCAGCCTGGCTCTACCACGTAAAACGCCTGCCCCGTATAACGATTAAATCCCCTTACAACGTGAGAGTGGTATGACCAGTGGTGTACTTTCACTGATTGATGAAGAAGTGTCGTATTTTTAATCACTCACCCTGTCACAAATGAGGCACTGCACCGAGGATAACAGTTTCCCATCAAACACGTCCGACACTATGCTGCGGTAACGAATGCCACCACAACCTCCGTCTCCACCGCCACATGCCGGCTTGCTTCTGGAAAATCAACCGTAGAGTTTTGAAGTAACCTTCGTAATTTTTTTTAAAGTAGTAATAAAGTTGCAAAAGTTTATGATTTTCTCCTGTATCGTGGAGGTGTTTTATATGCCTACTTAAATTATTGAACATGGAAAAACAGACCTGTAAGAAATAGTAGTGAGTCATATCATGAACACATATTTCAACTGGGAAAAGTTACATGTAGGAAACAGAAAGCTCTTGTTCTTTGCATAATTCGAACTCGAGGTTTCGCACAGTGGTAGTCAAACACTTAGTCACTGCTACTGAGTCGTCTTGACGTGGCCAACACGTCAACACCAAATGCAGTCCAAAGCGGGACACGAATCTCTTCCTTATCCGGGATAGACACGATCAAACAATGATCGAACGAGTATCAGACGTCTCGATTTTCAGACACTGCTCCCCGTCATCGGTCTGGGACACGAAAACCAATTTTGTGTCATAGAACCATTTGAGATTCAATGCAGTCGTTTATAAACAAAAACAGATAATGTATTAGTTGCCGCAAATTGGCAATGCACTGAAAAGTACACTGGATATTCGAAGGAACTTCTAAGCCAGTTGGTAAGTAATTTAAAAATAGCTAGAAATAGTATGAACTGTAAGGTGGTATATTATGTAGAACTGGTTGAGAAGCTTCCGCGAATAATAAGAAGAGTAGTTACTCTCGCACAGGTAATTCAATTTACCATCGCCAGTCCGTGGCATTAGGTTTTAGCAGTCACCAGAGCTTCGTTTGGTTGGGTGTTGATTTTAGGAGGAAAGCGCGTGATCAATGATTAAGTTAAAGTGATAATCCTCACTCGGTGGGTTCTAAGCGTGGTTCCGGTGCGTCGCTGGCTCCACTCGAACAAGTTTCATATTTCTCCTCGGCTTCACTCGAACACGACAGTTCAGACTCAGAGCCTATGTCGCGCTGCGCTGGATCCATACCTGATATAAAAAGGATAAACCACAAATATTTTGTTAAATTTAACCCCCATTAAAATGGAGTCCCGTTTATCATAATTGAAACGAAGCAGAGACAAAAAATATTGAAATTAAATCCAAAAATGCACTAAAGGATTCAATATTTTATGCAAATATCAATTATTTTATCCGCCTCGAAGGACCAAAATGTAAATATTAGTTTCATAAATAAATTTTCATATAATTCTCCGTGGAACAAAATTGGAAAATTGTTTTAGGCATTATTAGCACCGTGTGGTTGCGGCGTAGGGTAATAATCACATCACGCCTGTAAGCCTTTATGACAGGAAAATATCCGGAAGATCAAGTGACCTCCGATTAATAGCGTTATAGCCACCGCTGATACGTCAGATGCTATATTTATGATGATATACGTGGTAGAGCCATGCTGCAGTTATAATAGTAGTAAAGTTGTAGCACGAATGGGTCGGCTCGACCGGGGAAGGACCACGCTCTCATAGAATACCAGCAGCGTGAAATAGTAGCTTAATGCTGCTGTTTCGTATGGTGAGTGTAGAGAACCGGAGACCCTTTTTACTGGAAACGAGACATTCCATCTTAGTCCTTATGGGTGACAACGCATCTGCATTTTGATTTGTAATCGAGGATAGATGTAGATGTCTATGGGCCGCAGCAACCACTTGCCGTCAGGTGAAATGTGTGCTCGGTTGTCACCCTATCATATAAAAAAAATTCCAGACGAAGAGAAGCATTAAAGATAAGAGAAACTGTTACTGCAACCACCTATCTGTTTTTCAAACGTGGCGATTAAAGATTTTACCTTTTACATAAGAAGCTAAATCCAATAGTGGACTATTAAACTGACAAAAAAAATTACTGTATTTACCATTCATTTGATGAGTTGGCACGTTATAGGTGAGATGGTGAGTGCCAGCGAAACTGGCAGACCGTTTATGTCTATGGCCTACTCCACCCTCTGTGTTTGATTGCACCCTATAAAAATTATATGTAGGCAGAGTTACATATTAGTGGAAATCAAATACACAGATTTACTTTGTGGTCACAAATATGTTAAGGGTTATAAGTTCGGAGTTCAACCAGAGCCGAAATGTTGAGATTGTCCTTTTCCGGGGCTGAGCCCGAGCTCAACCTCTCCGCCTCTTGCATAATTCTGGTTGTGTTTATGTTTAGAATTCGAATTCTGTTAGAATGATGTCATAATTATGTATAACAGTGAACTATACAGGCTCAAGAAGATACATAAATAATGTCAACAGCGCTAATCCTTAGCACTCCTCAGAAAATAAATGTAGTGGTATATTCTAAATTGAGAATCTAAGCGCCTTGTAGTTCTTTTACGTACTCGTAATTAAATACGATTTGTATATAATGAAAACAGCGCCATTTAGGGACAATAATCGGAAACACATTTCGTGAGTGCGAGAGTTTATGTCATCGTTATCGACCAACGAACATTGACTAGCATTCGACAATGAGAATGTTAACACTCGTTATTTGACGTTTTTTTTTTTTTTTGGAAGATGTTTGCGTCTGCTAAGGCAAAAGATGAACGCTTTTATAATATTTATTAACAAATAAATGCAAATTAACAATTATAATACAAACACAAACTGTCAAAATAGTAACATTAAAATGCTATAATGATACAAAGTTGCTTATAGTAAAACAGTTTAGTAGGTAAAAACGTCATTCTAAAATTTGGTTTGTTTATCTCACGACGCGATCATGCTACCAACATAAGGGAAGGAACGAATGCCATCCAAGGAGAGTGAACGCGAATTGGAGGCGTAGCTTTGATTGTAATACCTATGATATTAACTTGGTTAACATAATAATAACTTGGTTAACATAATAAGCGACAGTAGCCTAATGGCAGGGCGCGGACCGCGAACTCAAAAAGGTCGTGGGTGTGGTCGTGGATGAGTTTATTATAAGTGCTGATTTACCACGAGTTTGGCGGTTAAGGAGAATATCGAGAAGCATTTTGCATGTATCGCGGAAAAAATATTTCAGGGACATGTGTAGTCCGTATTGGCAAAATTGAAGTGTAAAATATCATAATATATATATATATATATATATATATATATATATATATATATATACATACACACACACACATACAATAGTTACCTAAGATAGCCGTCCGCTCTCGCCTCGCTGTAGGAAGATGCTGCCGGCGACTTTCGCCTCATCCTCGCAAAATACGGCGCGTCACTAGCTGCGGACCAGTCTGCAATCAGCCTTATATCATCGTTAAAAATAGACAACAAATATACAATATTAATTACAACGTAAGATCTACCAGATGTCTTTTGTACTGAAAGTAAAAAATAGTGCGTAACAGCTGAATGAAGTAGAAGACTATGGCATAGATATTTTTCTAATTTATTATTTTTTATAATGATTTCATATTTCGACACTACAAATTGATGTATCAAATACTAATTTTTACGGAATTTATCGCGTATATTTAACTTTTTTTTTTACCCGACGTTTCGAGAGCTTTACAGCACCCATGGTCACGGGAAGGACTGAGATGTTCAACGTCCAGCTGTCATAGTTAACCGCGGTTACCATAGATTAAAATTTAACTTTTGTTCCGATCTACACAGTATGAACTTATGGTATCATGGAGTCTTGCAGTTGTATGCTTGGGTTGGGATTTAATTTTATTTATTATAGGATCCCAAGCAGATGGTAGCACCCAGCCATCTTCTCTATTGTAATTAGGATGTTTTTTGATTTCAATAGCCTCGCGAATCATCCTTGGAAGGAATCGGTGTTCTTTAGCGAGGATTTGTGGTCTATCAAATCTGATGTAGCGACGGGGGCGATCCTGTACATGTTCACAGACTGCAGACTTCCCGGAGCGTCGATTCTTCACATCAGCTATATGTTCTTTGACGCGAGTTTTAATTGATCTTTTAGTTTGTCCTATGTAGGAGAGACCACATTCACAATCAAGCTTGTACACTCCTGCATCTTGCAGAGGGACGTTACACTTGACTGATGGTAAAAACTGACCAATCTTCTTCGGCGGCTTGAAGTATGTTTCGATGGAAGCGCGCTTCAAGATGTAGCCAATCTTGTCAGTGACTCCTCTAACATATGGCAGTACAGCAGGTACACGCTCGACTGTGGCCGGCTTCACTCGTTCTCTGTGACGTAGGCGCGGGACCCGAAGCTTGTTGTCATGCAAAACTTGCTTGACATGTTGGAGCTCGGCAGCCAGGTGTTTACTGTCACAGATCCCTCGTGCTCTCTGAAACAAAGATTTACCCACGGTAGCTAACTGTGAAGGATGGTGGTGAGAATCACCGTTTAAATATCTACCTGTATGGGTCTTTTTTCTATACACAGTATGGCTCAAGGTGTTATCAGGATTCCGAATTACTAACACATCTAGAAAAGCTAAGGAATTGTTTGCCTCTAACTCCATTGTGAACTGAATTTTAGTATTTATAGAGTTAAGATGGTCTAAAAATGCAGTTACTTTATCTAAAGGTAGAATTGTGAAAGTGTCGTCTACGTACCGCTTGTAGAATCTTGGATTTATGGGAGAAGTAAGCAGGGCTTTCTCCTCAAAGTCTTCCATGAATATGTCGGCGACAATGGGAGATACAGGTGAGCCCATCGCCACACCATCTACTTGCTTGTAGAACTCCTCCTTCCACAATAGGTAGCCAGATGTAAGGCAGTGTCTGAGTAATACTGCATATTCTACGGGCATGTTGTTTTCTTCCAGCCTTCTAGTTACAATTGAGATGCAGTCTTCAACAGGTAAGCATGTAAACAATGACTGCACATCAAAACTGACCATAGTTTCATTGTCTGCCAGACGTAGGTCTTTAATCTCGCTGACAAAATGGTAGGAATCCTTTATGTGTGCTCTTGTATGTCCCCTGAGCGGTGAGAGTATTTTCGCTAAGTGTTGAGCCAATCTGTAAGTTGGTGAATCGATTTGGCTCACTATGGGGCGTAATGGAGCATTGGGCTTGTGTATTTTTGGTAACCCATACAACTTTGGTGATTTGGCGCACGTAGGTATTATCCATTTTACGTCCAGATTTAATTTTTCGGAGTGTTTCTTTATGAGGTCACTAGTTGTTTTTAGTGTGCTGTTTGTTGGGTCGTTTTTAACCTTTTTTATAAGTACTTACATCCGACAAAAGTTCTTGTATTTTAGAATTATAATCTGACGTATCCATGACCACCGTGGCGTTTCCCTTATCTGCGCGGAGAATCGTAAGTTCTGGTTTATTGCGTAGGTTCTTTAACGCTATAAATTCGTCTCTGGGAAGATTCGGTTTAGGCACTGAACATCGACGTAACATAGACGAAATGTCTTGACGTATCGCCTCCAAATCTTCTTTCCGCATATTGTTTTTAAATAAACAGTCCTCGACACTACAGATAATTTCTTCGTACGGTAATCTGCTTGGAGTTATAGCATATGGGAAGTCTGCAGTCTGTGAACATGTACAGGATCGCCCCCGTCACTACATCAGATTTGATAGACCACAAATCCTCGCTAAAGAACACCGATTCCTTCCAAGGATGATTCGCGAGGCTATTGAATTGAATGAATACCAAAAGTATTGCTGCGAAAGCCTTAAATATTAGTAATAGAGCATATTATATTTTTTATTAATCTATAAAAGTCCACTTATAGATATGAATTAGATATTTATAGAAAGTGAAGGAAAATATTTTTAAGACCATTGCTTTTTTTAACTTTCCAAACAATTTATGGAAAAAAAGGATTAAAAAATACTGTCTACAGAACGGAGCTCTCATGAGAGTTTAGGAACCAATACTAAATTATATTGCGCTTTTGGTCTTCTACTTGGATATCGACCACTACCACAAGTTCTAAATTTTATCTAAAACTGTCAACTGCATCATATCATCATTATCATTACAACCCTTCACAAGTCCACTGCTGAACATAGGCCTCCCCCAAGTATGCCACAAAGCACGGTCCAGAGCCACCTGCATCCATCGACTTCCTCCATGTTTTACTAGGTCGTCACTCCATCTAGTGGGGGGGGGTCGCCCTACACTACTTCTACCGGTACGAGGCTGCCACTCGAGAACCTTTCTTCTCCATCGGTTATCGGTTCTTCGAGCTATATGGCCGGCCCATTGCCACTTCAGCTTACTAATTCGTTGGACTATGTCGGTCACTCTGGTTTTACTGCGGATATGCTCATTTCTGAGTCTATCACGCAGAGAAACTACGAGCGTAGCCCTCTCCATAGCTTGCTGAGCGACCTTGAGTGTCCTCATACGGCCAGCAGTGAAGGACCACGTCTCAGATCCGTAAGTCATCACTGGCAACACTAACTGGTTGTACAATCTAATTTTCAGAGTTTGAGGTATACCTGACGAGAAGATGTGTCGTAATTTTCCAAACGCTGCCCATAGTTAACTGCATCGGGTATGTATATTGGGCCATAGTGTAAATGCTAACACAATTCTTTAGAAAAATTAGAACACCATTGAACGCTAACAGCAACAATTTTGTTTCTGTACAGATATTCAAAACAGTTTAAAATATATAAAGCTGTTTTCAACCTAAGTATTTCCAGGCGAAATCTTTTCATCACTGTACCATTTTATTAAAACACTAGTAGGAATTTCCAGATCATAAAAGAAATCTATATCTTACCCCCAGATGAAGCGGCCCTGCGTCTTATGTGAATGTTTCTGCTATCCTGGTGATCTCCATCAGCTTCAGTACCGAGCTTGTCTTCTGATGTAGTGTCCCACACCTAATAAGATCATAATTATTGATTTTTTATATTTACGCGAACACTACACATTGATTAAAACTACTTTTACGGATTTTATTGCGTTTATTTTTTATCGGGTTTAACAATGACATCGGGACGTAAGTCACCTCGGTCCCCCGTGACAATGGGTGCTGGAAAGCACCCGTAACGTCGGGAATTATAAATAAAAATAATTTGAATTTAAATTAAACGCGATAAAATCCGTAAAAGTAGTTTTAATCAATCATAATTATTATTCAAAATGGTGACCACTTTTTTTAAGTTTCCCGTTCTGAGCTATCGTCAAATTTTAGTTTCCAGCTCATTGGGAATTTAGTTTAAAACTGCATGCAAAATTTCTACCAAACATAGAAGAAAACCAGTTAACAAAAATGTGCGCGTAGAGTATTTACATCTAGTTTTTAGGTTTGCTTTTGATGGGATTAGGCGTTAATTACGATAACATTAAATAACATTATTTAGAAAAAAAAAGGCAAGTCTTTTGAATCCAGTATATGTAACTAAATTTAAATTGAACATTTTATTTAAACAATTATAATCAGTGAATTATGCAATGGCAAGTTTTGGTCAAGTTTATCATTAGGTGGAATTAGCAGTTCCTCTCAATCCCCGAGTGGGCTCATGAGCCCGCGGCCATATTTCGTCAAATCCCTAGCGGTCTCATGAGACCGCACCCACCCACAGCACTTTAACCCATAAGAACTTATATTTAAAAACTACTTTTCGATGAAGAAGTTTGGCGTTATTGGCTCAATGTAAATTTACTATCCTATAATGCAATAAAAAGTAGTTACTAAATGTTTTTTTTTAATTTATAATCTACGTTCATTTCGTACGCCTATTTCGTGTGGCGTGTTATTGTGTTGATTTTTGGATTTTTCTAATGTTTTATTAGTGTTTAGTAGTGTTTTATTATAAAATTGTTATAAAAGTTTTTGTGTGAATATAATTAATTTTTAAGTAAATAATTTCCAGTAAAATATAGAAATAATTGTGATATTCACGCTGCTGTCTTGCGATGGGTATGTACATTTTTTCCTACGAAAATACAATTAAAACGTATTTTTAATGAAGTAAAATCACTAAAACAAGTAATATAACATAATAAATAAACAGAAGCAAGTATTATATTGAAATTTATAATTAATTTTATTGAAAATAATTGTACAACAAATTCAAGGTTAGGTTATTTTTAGCGACGCCGCGTCACGCGAAGTGAGCCAGCGGTGTTAATCATTTTAGCTGGCGACTGAGGGGTTAACCATTATCTAATAAATAGTAACTAAAAACTGTTGTCAATGCAACAAAGAAATCTTAATTTAATTATGATGAAAAAGTTTTTCTCTACAAATTTTAAAAGATTATTTAGTAAATTACGCTTTAAATTGTATGAAAAGTAATAAAGTTTAAATATTAATAAAACTGGGCAAAAGTTTAGGTAAAGTTTATATAGTGACAAGTCTTCAAAACCATTTTACGTAAAATATTTAGTTTGATAGATATTTTGTTTAATTATTATACTAATAAACAGCAATTTGCAAAAATAAATACGCAATTGTAAAAAGTCATAACACGGGTGATTAGAATTTACGGTTGATACATCAAGTGGTTCTTCAAGCCGGGATAAAAAGCGACCGTAGCCTACGGGCAGGGTGCGGACCGCGAACTCAAACGTTGTGGGTTCGAATCCGCCATTGGACTGCTGTTGTGAACCACCCCTAACAAGCTTTTTTCAACTTACAAGTAGCGACTAAATGGAATATTAGTAATGTTAATAATAGCATTGATAGTATTTAAAAAAATGATGTTGAAATAATATTTATAGAAATAATATTAAAAAAATCATACCGGTTCTTTGAGCTCTTCATGCAACTGGTCCATAAAACACCTTAAGAACTCCTGAGTATCGTGCTGGTGATAGCCCCGAAACATTGGATATACCTGTAAAATAGATATTATTTTAGCTAGAAGCTAGGAATAGCTATGAATAATTAATGAGATTATTTACTTACATTTCGTATACCGTATAATATACCACTAGGTACAAGATAGCCTCTAGTTTTCTTACTCCACATTTCTTTAATTAATTTTTGGTATGCTCTGAAATGTAAGAAATTTACAAAATGTCATATAACATAAACAACGTTTAGTTCCATAAAAATTAAATACATTAACGGCTATAACATGCTAGCATTTTATCTATTTTCAAGTATGAAACAAGGGTATTTTGTGATTTCCATCTATAAACCTGTTACTTCTGGGGTATGACAAGTTGATCTTGTATATAAAGTTACAGCTTACATCATATACATGCCTTTCTGCACTTCTCTTTTATTTTGGAAAGAGCAAACGCTCCTTGGACTTTATTAGCAATAAACCACTGCGTTGCACCGCTGCGTATTGGCGGACTTCATAATTTATTTATTTCTATCATGCAGGTATCCTCACATTGGTTTCTTCCATCGACGAGCTCGTGGTAGATCGCGCGGATTGATGAAGAAGAAAATAGAAAATCTTCATATTTTATAATTGCTATTGCATCCCTTAGTGTCTGTACAACATCTAAACAAATTTTTTATGTCGAGTTGTAGGTTCATGGCTAGTCTAGGACACTATAGGTGGCGTTGCAATCGTAACTCGATAATAAGGATAATAAGATTTTATGTTAACACTAAAATATCCGTAGTGAAACAGCTACCGGAAAGGTCAGTACATGCATGGCGTAATCATCAGTCGTATTATTACAGCCTACAAAAAAAATCAAATCCATGTTGAATATACATACATACATACATAACACAGTAGCCTAATGCCAGGGCGCGGACCGCGAACTCAAAAAGGTCGGGGGTTCGAATCCGCCATTCGACTACTGGCGTGAACCACTCGTAACACAAGCAATTAGAGCTTACCACGAGTGGTTAAGGGGAATATTAGTAATGTTTATAGCATTGTTAATATTCTTTTTTAATTATATATATACATATATATATATATAGATACCTACAGACTGCCTCATAAGGGTGTTTTTGACACACTCTTGCTTGATAGGCGGGTCGACAACCGCAGTATTTTTATTATTTTGAACATTATCAACAAAAAAGATCTGCCCATCTCCTGGTTTATTTCCCTTCGTCGTTTCTTACGACATCCACGAGATCTTACGCCGCCCTTACACTGCTAGACCAGTTACTATATAAATATGTAAATAATAATTTTACATTACCTGCTTAGTCCTGGCTTCTTGTCGCCGGCGAGTACTGCGACGGCCGCGGCGCACTCCAAGAAGTACGACGTGAACGGCTGAGTGTTGCTTAACGCTTGGAGTGCCGCGTTCATGTAGCACGTGTTGCCCATGTTTTGTAGACCCACTAAACCTGCTAATTTGAATATTAAGATTAAACACAAAAGTTTTAAATTTGAAGTGCCACGTGACTTTTTTTTCTTTGATTACTTATTCTGTTGTACTTTTGCCAGTGTCAATTATATCAAAAATAAAAATTTGTTCAAAAACTCTTTCACAATATGTTGATGCATCACATTGAAAAGTTTATGAGAAATTTTGACGACAGGTAGACCTTGCAGGCAGTCGATGACGATAGAACTATTTGCTATAGCGAATAGTCGAATACCGATTGATCGCCATTCCCTATGGCGAGTAATCGAATTACTCGCCATTATTATTCGTTATAAAAAATACGAAATTAGATGTTGTTTTTTGAGGTTAAGAGCTGATTAGATTTTAGAATCGATCGATATTTATTTTTAATCACGTAAGTAACTTAATTAGAAGTTATAGTTTGAAATATTATAACAATACATACCTCTATGCCGTGTTTCGTCTTCATAATCCATATCATCAGGGTCCAGGTCGTCATCCGGCGTCACGTTTATGGCGAAACTGCCCAGTCTTCCACTTATTGAAGTGTCCATCGACGTCGAGTCTGGACTCATCTGAGTCAAAAAAAAAAAAAAAAACAGTAATATGATCATAAATATTATAAAATGGTCTTTTTGCGTGATCGTTAACTCCGTACAACATTACTGCAAAGCAAAAGTTAAGGAAAAACACATGTGACATATTCATAACAGCCTTTTTAAGGCCATGGCTGGAGAATGTGTCAGTAGATGGTAGATTATGCAAAACAAAGATGGAGGAACTAGAGAGTTTAAATTATTCATAAGATAAGATACTATATATAATGTGTTAGTTTTACATTTGATCAAACGAAATGTGCGGTGTGCGGATACTAGATAAAAAAATTATCGGTAAAAAATCTTTTTTTTTTAATGTAAACTATTTAAAAAATAAAAGCATTTTAATTTTTTTTGGTAAAATTTTATCCTTCGGTTTTAAATTATTTTCTCTTTAAGTAAGCGGTGTATTTTTTTCAAAGTAGTTTTATTTGAAAGTTAGAAAGATTAACTAGCAATAAAAATTAAAAAAACCTACGATCTTCGACCAGGGGTGTTCAAATTATAGTCGTATTTTTAATTAGACGAAGCCAACTGACAGTAGCTAATGTCACTTTGTAAAATAATGTTGCCATATTTAAAGTAATAGTGATGCGTTCAGTTCTCGTTCAATCAGATGAATGAACAATGAGTGTGAATAGTTAATCATTTCAAACTATAAAAGAATATTATTTCTATTTTACAATAAAATTGTATAAAAGTGCTCTGATATAAGTTACTAGTAGTATGTAACTACAATCAGTTTTTTGAGGTTTTATTACAAAGCGCGGCGCGGCGACTAGTGCCAACACCGATCAACGCCGCGCGCGTCGGTCGCCATTTTGTTTGTTATTCGGCTTCTAACCTCTGGTCTGATAGCACGAATGTTTTTTCTGCGCTCACGCTGTTTAGTTATTGTTTTTGTTAAGTTTTTCGTTAGATTGTGTTTGTGGTAATTGTTGTGTTTATTTGTTGCTATATTGTTTCGTACAAACGATATGGATCCTCAACCAAGCACGTCAAGCCAAAGCTTGTCTCCAAGAAAGAAGAGACCACGGATTGCTTTAAGCGTTACCGAAAAACTTATGACACAAAACGTCTACAAACACGTATTTGAGGAAAAAGCTGCTTCACTATTACCTATTGAGGCCCCCGAAAAAAAAGAATGTGTTTCGAAAACAGCTGACATTTTGGGAATTGGTGTGACCTCAGTTTACAGTGTGTTAAAAGAATGCAAAGAAAATGAACAATTTAAGTCTCCCGAGAAACGTGGACCGAAACACAGTTTCAAAGATAAATTAGACGATTTTACTTTTGCCGCTATAAGGCGAAAAGTACATAATTTTTTTTATGCAAATGAGTCACCCACCATTATAAAGGTAACTTAAACTTTATTCCTTCTACTGCATTATATTCTGTGTCCACCATAATGTTCTTTGTAAAACCAAAGTATTAGATTGCGTAGACTTCCTTACTCAAAACATATTTTATTACTTTACAGATTCTTAAGGTTGTCAATGAAGACCCAGACTTACCCAATTTTTCTTGGAGTACATTAAGAAATGTTATGAAACATTTAAATTTCAAATATGTCACAAAATCAAGACACAGCATTTTAATTGACAGACAGGACATTATTCTATGGCGCCAGCGATACCTTCGAAAAATTAAAGAGTATCGAAGGGAAGGAAGGTATATTTATTACCAAGATGAAACCTGGATCAACGAAGGTAATTACAATTTTCTGTTTTCTTTACATTAAATTGTACTTTCAAATAATTAATTGATATTTTTCACTATCTTGAAGGTCATGCACCGAAGAAGGCATGGATTGACCAGACAGTGTTATCGTCCCGCCAGGCCTTCCTAGATGGCTTGACCACTGGCTTAAAACAGCCTTCAGGAAAGGGCAAACGATTAATTATCGGCCATATAGGCGGGGAAGAAGGATTCGTAGAAGACAGCTTATTAATATTTGAAGCCAAAAAAAAAAAAAAGAAGATTATCATCAAGAGATGAATGCCGATTCCTTTGAGAAGTGGTTTTGGGGTGTCTTGCCAAAACTAAAACCAAATTCCGTAGTAGTGATGGATAATGCCCCCTACCACTCCAGGAAACTAGAATCGCTGCCTAAAATATCTTGGACTAAACCTAGAATACTAGAGTGGCTAACGAGCAAAAATATTTCATTCGAAGCAACAATGGTTAAAGCTACTCTTATAGACATTGTACGGCAGCACAAGCAAGAACATTGCGATAAGTATGTTGTGGACGAGATGGCAGCGCAGCATGGGATAATTGTTTTACGTCTGCCCCCATACCACTGTGAGCTCAATCCCATTGAGTTGGTATGGGCGCAGGCTAAAGGATATGTTGCAAGAAATAACAAAACCTTCAAAATGACAGAAGTAAAAAAACTTTTTGAAGAAGGACTTCAACATATCACACCACATGATTGACAATGTTACTGACAGATTTTTAATTAATGTCACCGAAAGCGATAGTGATGATTTTTTATCTGATAATGAATAAAAACAAATTATGTAATAAGCGATTTTTTTTATTCTGATTACCTACCTATAATTGTTATATTTTATACATCTATAGTTTCAACTACATGATGTATTGAAAATAGGACAGTCTTACAAGTTTCCTCGCAATATTTTCCTTAATGTTTAAAACACTCGGTATTCAGTATAGATAGATATTATAGGAACATAGTCGTCGAAAACTCGTTGGTATGTAAAAAGCACGACTAAAATTCGAACCCCGTACCCGATATCGGCAGTTCAGCACACTAACTATTCACTAGACAATCGAGGCAATTTCATTAATTCAGGAGTTTTTCAATCATTCACTTTGTCACAACACTATTTTTATTTCATCAAAAACTGACAACACAGTAAGCGTCAGTTGACTTCGTCTAATTAAAAATACGACTATAGAGGTAGGTGCGGCGCATAAGCGCAAATCAACATACCGATGGCATTCTTTGATGATTATTATTTTAAAATCGAAAAGAGATAGAACGCATGTTATTTTGGAGAACTTGTACAGTAAGCTATGTAGTTTAATAAAACATGCTAAAAAAGGTTATCTCAACGTACTAGTTTTGAAGTTACAGACGAAAAATTAAATGGAAAAGTATTTTTTAACAAAAAAAATTATCTTATTATTTTTTTGACAAATTTCCTGCTTGATATCGTAGGTTTTTTTTTTAATTTTTAATGCTAGTTAATCTTTCTAACTTTCAAATAAAACTACTTTGAAAAAAAAAATACACCGTTTACTTAAAGAGAAAATAATTTTAAACCGAAGGATGGGAATTTTACCAAAAAAATTAAAATGCTTTTATTTTTTAAATAGTTAACATAAAAAAAAAATTAGATTTTTTCGTTTGATCAACTGTAAAATTAACACATTATATATATATATATATATATATATATATATATATATATATATATATATATATATATATATATATATTAATTTTTATAGGTAATTTTTTATCCCAAAAATAATTAAAACTACGTAAATTACAGTCACACTAAATCTGTACAGTCAAAACAAACTGAAATGGACCGTAACTTAAGGCAATAAGACTTTTAGAAGTGCAGTTTTATTTGTATTATTTACTAATTCTGTCATTCAGTAAAAATAAAGAAAAATGAACTTTATTTCAAGCACGTTAAAGTCTTTGCGTTCGTGGATTTGTACTGTGACCACAACATTCTTCCGGAATTAGTATAACTGATTTGATAAATAATCAGTGCATAAAAATGTTTAACTAAAAATTCAGTGTATGTGTTATGATTATAACATAATATACTAATTGGGGTGTGTATATACATAAATAATATATACAGGTTGTCCCAAAACTCGACGTCAACCCGGAACCGCGTGAAAGGGCAGTTGTAAAATTATTATAGACATTTAAAAAAAACGAAAAAAATTCACATCCTGTGACAGTCTTTTCACTCCTGTTGCCAAAAATCTTTACCTTTTCCAACTTTTTTTTGGTTATGAAACCCTGAATAATGCTTCTCTAAACTGGTATCAAAAGTTCAAAACCAGTTAGTAGATACAGCTGGCTTTTCTAAAAAAAAATTCAAAATTAAAAATAGCCCAGATTTAACGAAATAGCGTCAAAAGTTGGCGCATTTAGTAATGTTTCCAAAATTATATAACACTTGGTAAATTGTAGCTGCAATCGTGGACATTGTTTGTTTTTCTCGTAAAAACCCAGTTTTAACAAGTTTTTCTTACTTGGTTAAAAATTATTCTAATGTACTCAAGATTTTCCAAAGGGTCGTAAATTGAAGCTTGAAGGAGTCATTCTAAAGAAGTGTAATTAATTAATAAATAACACGTCATATTAAACAACTGCACACATACTAATAAGGGTTAAAGTATGAAGTTGCTATTTTAATGGAGTAGTCACTTTAAATTTAAATTAAACAAGCAAGGTACGTGATCAAAATTTTATATAATTTTATACACCAAAACTATAACATTCAAAATTCAAAAAATGTATGACATTCTATTGTTTGTCTTTTAATTGTTTTTACATTACTTGAGTTAAACTTGAAGACCTCAAAAATTAAGAGTAATTTTTGAACATGCGTGCCGACGTGGTTCTAACGCAGCGGACACAGATCGCAATATCAATGCTGCGTTTGGAGAGGATACGATTAACGAACACAATGTACGTTTTGGTTTAACCGCTTTGGTTTAAACTTTCGAATTAAAGAACGAACTACGAGGAAGAACAAAAACTTATGTAAATAACGATTAATTAAAAGTAATGGTGGAAAGCCGATGCTTATCAAAATACCAACAAATTAGTTAGTGCCAAGGTTTAACGTTACTTAACCCACAATATTGACACATTATTTTTCAAATTGGTGAAATTAAAAAAAATCTCAAGAAATGGACGCCTCTTGAATTTACTGATGTGCATAGAGGCACTCGTTTAAGCTTGATTGTGGTGTGATGAATAGGTACAGAAATGAATAGATTTTGGACGTGTGCACAATCACAATCAAAACATCCAGATCTAGAGAGAGAATGAAATATAGGAACAATGTCCTAAAGCGTTTGGTGGTCACTTCATTTTGTAATTTACAATAGCTTTTTTAAGATCCGGTGTATCAATAACACAGTAGCCTTATTGCGAAGAATACTTCGAATAACGATTGCGAAACTTTCAGAGAAACAATGCTGACTTGTGTATCTTCGCCATTATTGCTTCATAATAATAAAACCCGTTTTAACATTACAAGACCTGCAGTTAGTAGAAACCACACATCATCGTTCGTACTTGCCGGCCCTAACCTTAACAAATTATAATTTTTTCCGCAATTTATACAATTTCCTACAAGGAAAAAAAATTTATTTCCGGAAGAGATACACACTGCCTTCATGGACTTTGTTCTAGTCAAGATTTCCAAGGTTCTATCACAAAGGCATAAATGATTTTTCTTCGGATCTTCGATCTAATAAGTATATAGTTTTTTAGAAAAAAAGGTTGGATTTTCAATATAAAACGACAATTTCCTACTTTGAACCCTAATTATGGTAAAAGTAAAGTTAAAGCTTATAGTTTCCACCCACTACTGAGCACAGACCTCATATCATTTTTGGGAGGGTTATGGAGGAATAAGTCCAACGCGCTGCACCGTTGCGTTTTAGCGGATTTTAAATGTCCTCGAAATATTGTATTTTTTTCTTTCACTACCGAGCACGTGGAAAACTAGCATTAATACATATAGTTGTAATTAATAATCTCATTGGTTGCTCGCGTATTTTAGAATTCACAGCAAACGGCCTATACCTTTGAGTTCTCACTAATAACACACCTTATAATAAGAATCTTGAGTTCTTGCATTCTAACACGAAAAACATTAGACATCATTTGTCTTACACAAAACGTCTCTCGTGTTATTACAAAAAGTTATTTATTGATAGTTTTGGGTTTAAACTTTTAGGTTTAAGAACAGACCTAACTGAAGAAGTCCCCCAGACGCGGCGCCAGTCTACGCGAAATTTAGTTCGCATATTTCCGCGGAACTTCTTTCTTAAAAGATTCAAGTTTAAACCTGACACTAATTATAAAAATTGTAATAAGGCCGATTGGGTTAAAAGAAGAGCCTCTGGCACGACAGGCTTAGCACCCTTAGCCGCTTCGCCGCAATCGTTTAATCATTCGCATATTTTCCACGGGACATCTTATTCAACCCCCAACGCAAACAGGGGATTGTTATATGTTTATCGTGTGTAGATGTGTCTGTCTTACTGTGGCATCGTAGCTCCAAGCAGATGAACCTATTCAGATTTAAGTTTATTTTTGTTTGAAAGGTGACTTAATCGATTATGATCTTAGTTATGATTCAAGTAATTCAAGTAATCTGTTTATAAATCACCAGCTCTTTTTGTTTCGTTTTTTTTTTAATATTTTCAATTATCCAAACAGACTCTAGAGTTTAGGAATCTGAGCTACTTTTTGTAATAATATGGGATGTGTTGTTCTTGGTTTTTCCAGTTTTAAACTTTGCGTTCACTGTATTAAAATATTCACAAACAAATATTATTTTATTAAATAGTATGAAATATACATTAATTTACCTTCTATTATGCGATTGAAATTTTAATGTATATTACAAATAGGTTCGACTAGCATTCGGCGCGTTTATTAAGCAAGCGTATGTATGTATAAGCGTATATAAGTGTATATTTTATAATTTACAAATGAGATATCTGTGTTTGATATATTTATAATGTCCTTGAGACTGAATTTCGGTCACTGATTGGGCAGTACCAAGTGTACTAGCAAGCACAGGTGCACTATTTGTTCGCCCCCTCTAATAGTCCGATGGGAGGGCAATAAAGATCACGCGAATGACCATCGGCTTTACGTACATTCCGAGGTACGTAAAGCCAACCAAACGACCAATCCAACTTTAGAGAGGATTTCTTGACAGGAAAACCTAGTAATTGTTTTCGGACCGATCCGGGATTCGAACCCGGAACTTCATGATCAGCAATTGCGTTAACGACCATTAAGCCAACGAGGCAGTATTTTATATATTAATGTGTAGTTAAAAGTTAATGACAGCTAGTTCAATATACGAACTTAAAAATTCAGTGAATTACCGTTGAATTTGGACCACTAGTATATTAGCTTAAACCTTACCGTCGCATGTGCAATGGCTGCCCGAATATGCACTTCCTTTTCGCACAGGTAACACCATATTCGCTCCGTGGACACGTTCATGTGAACGCAATGCAGTGGGTAATTCTAAAAAGAAAAAGAAAACATTAAAGCATACTTCATCAGATCGAATCAAGAAGAGCTATAGCCGCCATATTATGCGTTGCACTTTTAAGGATTTACTGGCGCTCCGTAGGGATGTTGTATCTCTTTGCATTTTCTATCGCATCTACCACTGACGAATTGTTCGAATTAATTCCAGCTGCCAAATTTCACGAACGCACATCGCATCGAAATTTACGATACCATCCTCATCATCTGGATGTTTGGCGGTCCACCACTGTGCGTTTTACTAGGAGTTTTCTTCCTCGTATAACTTCTCTGTGGAATTGTTTACCACCGGAGATTTCTCCAGACCGATACGACTTATGGACCTTCAAAGAAAAGAGCTTATTCCTTTCTAAAAAGGCAGGCAACGCACCTGCAATTCCCTTGCCGTTGCGGTTGTTCATGAGCGGCGGTAGTCACTTACCATCAGGTGAGCCACATGCTCGTTTGCCTCCTCTTCTATAAAAAAAAGGTTGTAAGGTTTGAACCGTTTAGGTTTACAAAATACTAACAAGCTAAATATGTAATTGATATGATTTTACTTTAGAACATGAGTCGGTTATGACTTTATCCGTTTTGTTTATTACAATCTTAGTTACTAGTTGGCTCAGCAGACATACATACATAAACAATCACCGCCTGCCACCCAGAGGGGTAGGCAGAAACTACGGACTTCCATTTGGCACGATCCTGACATACCTCCCTCGCCTCCTTTACATCCATATATCTACGCATACACGCTCGTCGGTTATGGGTACTTCTAATGTGGCCCATTTTCATAATATCGCCAATTTGGTCGATAAACTTTCGTCTAGAGCGTCCCTTCCCGACTCTGCCGTTCACATCTGCCATATAAATTTGCTTTGTTAATTGTGCTTTCCTCATTCATTCTTTCTACATGACCAAACCACCGAAGCATTCCTTTCTTAATCCCGGTCACAACATAATCTTGCATACCACATTTCTCTCGGTCTCTGCTCAGCAAACGTTCTGCCCTTTTCGATAAGTTGCATTGGAAGATAAAATCTATGCTTTACCATACCACACATAGCTATAGCTCGACCAAAGCGCCATCTAACAGGTCCAGCCATTTTGATTTCTTATTTGACACTTAATCAACATATACAGTAATATGAGTCATACTAGTCCATAAATATAGAATTTATTAATAACAACAGAGACACCTATCCGATCCTAGAATAGTTATAATCCATCGTCATCGCCCCGAAAAATATTGTGTGAATACTACCTCAATCGGTTAATTCGTTCAGAAGTTATAAAGGTAACAACAAACGCAGGGTTTTGACAGGGCAAGCAAGCCCAATTTTTATATATTTTTTCCGATGCTGACCAGGGTATTTTATATCTATCATAATAAGTACAATTTTAATTCTATACAAAACTTAAGAAAACCCTTTTGTCTAATATATTCTGTTTTAGTTTGTAAATGATAATATGATGAAATAAACCAGAAAAGATAATATCACTAATTTCCACAAAGAAACACAAGTGCTGTATCATCTGCGTAGGAAAAGATCATTCCGTTTAAAATATTGATGTTACACAAGTCATTAATATATACTAAAAACAAACTTGGGCCAAGAATACTTCCCTGTGGTACGCCATAAGTAATTTGCAGGTCAGAGGTACTATAAGGTCCAATCCTAAAACAAACAAACTACAAACTTTGCATTATGCAACGAATTTTTTTATGGAATCCAGGCTTCGCGCCCCACGTAATCCAGTATAATCCGATTACGGTGATTGTTTATTTGTACATTTTTTTCATAGGTTAGAAAGAAGCGGATGCTTTTTCCAAGACATGAGCCAACGGTGCAAAATGTTTGCATATGCCTATACGATTGGTCGTTCCATTCGTTGCATTTGTCACTGGCACGTTATTGGCTTTATGAAATTTGAAGTATCTATTTGTATAATATTATTTATATATACACAAAAGCGACGAAACTTTAAACTTTATCTCGTTATTAATTAGCGTACGATTAAAAGGGCATGCCGCGATTTTTTGGTTTGTATGAAAGTACCGACAAGCTAGCCTCTTTTTGGTAGGTGTCAAGAACAAGGTGAGTTTGATTTGAATATAAAATTTAATAATAACTTGACTACAGTACTACCTATACATATATACACATATAGTGTCCTTATTTAGTGATTTGTGTTATTAGACAAACAACATAATATATTGATTAAACAGCGGCACCTAATGGATTATAGCTATGGGCCATCGTATCGACATAATAAGTATGAACCCCATGTGTAAATAATCGGTAAAAAAAAATTCCCATTTTTCACCTGACTATGTATACAACAGAAATAAATCTTAAAATTCAGCTAATTGATTTTTTTATAGGATAGGGTTTTTTATAGGACAAACTAGCACACAGTCCACCTGATGGTAAGTGGTTGCTGCGGCCCATAGACATCTACATCTATCCTCGATTACAAATCAAAATGCAGATGCGTTGTCACCCGTGAGGACTAAGATGGAATGCCTTGTTTCCAGTAAAAAGGGACCCATTCGTGCAGCTACCACAATATAGCTGCAGCACGGCTCTACCACCTAAAGTTGGTTGCAAGAGTCTATGAGATGCTGTAGTCATGTACCATTTGGCGGACTGTAATACAATGCTCCGGAGTTTCGTGTGTTAAGAGAACCGGAGTTTGTGCCAATTGGCACAAAATAAAAAAAATGTTTGTTTGTTAATAACACTGCTTAGAATAGAGCCGTGGTAGCTCAGATAGTTAACACTCGCTGTAAATATAACAGAACGCGAGTAACCCAGGTTCCACCCGGGTAGTTAACCAATGAAATTGTTAATTGCAATTTTAAGTGCTGATTTACCACGTGCTCGACGGTGAAGGAAAACATCGTGAAAAAAAATATTTCGAAGACATGTGAAGTTCGCCAACACGCATTGGGGCAGCGCGGTGGACACTTCCTTGACCTAAAACCCTCTCAGAAATGAGGAAGGCCTGTGGCCAGCAGTGGGACGTATATAGGCTGTAACTTTACTTTACTGCTTAGAATAAGGCCCGGTTTACATTTTGAGAAGTGGCAAGTGCGAGTGACAACTGACAAGTGACAAATGACAAGTGCTTAAGGCGCATTTTATTCACGCTTATCACTTGTCACTGCCTGTTCACACGCACTAAGCATTTGTCATTTGTCACTTGTCAGTTGTCACTCGCACTTGTCACTTCTCAAAATGTAAACTGGGCCTAAGAAGTTTGTATCGCGAAATAAATTAAAATATGATACGCTCATTATTTATTTGCATTCACAACACTAACGACTTTCACAGCCTAAGAAGTTCAAGGAGTCACAATCGGCTGGAAAGATTATGGTTTCTGTTTGTTCAGATTCAGAGGAGATTTTATCGATTATAAAGACAAAGGTGTCAATATTGCGGGACAGTAGCTTCAGATAATTATTTTCCCAATTAAGAAAAAAGAGCTTTTTTTCTTAAAGTACAAATAACTTATTTGAACGGTCCAGAATTGTATAAGGCTTAAAGGAATTTATATCGAAAGGAAAAATAATTTTATGTTTAATTTCACCCCCTTACCCTTTCATTCCGCGAAATTTTTGAGCTTCCCTTCGTAGATAATAATAATATCCGTCTCAAATGAAAATTATTTCGCGGTTAAGCATACCCTTATTTTTTATAAGTATGACGATGAGTTGTAAATGTATTCAATAGGATCTATAAATAACGTAAGCGCGTCTGTGTGTCGAGAAATATACAAGTAGAGTTCAAAGTTCTCCGCGCGATACGCAAACTCAATATCCTGCTAAGAACTGAATAAACACGTTTTACGGCTTGTTGCCATTATGACGTAAAGTCGTAGATTAAAAAATAAACAAATGAATTAAAAGCATCTCAGCAGTATAATTTACTAATCCATGTTGTTTCTATACGAAATCATAAAATATATGTGTTCAAAGAAAGTCGCACGGAGGAAGCGCAGTGGAAGTTCAATATTACCTACAAAATGGGACAGTGGGAAATGGGACAAATATACAAAACTGGGTTTGTCATCCTTTATTGTGTAAAATGACATTTTTTTTAATAAGGGTGATATATGAGCACAATTTAACACAGTTCACCTGATAGAATAGAATTTTTATACAATATAGATTATATCTATTACTCATTGAAAGGGGTTATTCTGTTAATCCACCCTAAGAAATCCACCCTAGGGATACTCGGAAACGCGTGTTCGTTTATCCACACTAGAATGGGTGGATAATCCAAATCCACTTTTTGATTGTTGTTCCACCTTTCCACTCTAAGTACAGTTCAACAGAAAATACTTATATTCATACTTTAATATATTATTGATAAATTTTTAATAACCACGAACCTAAAACAAAATCATATTGCATATTGCATTTAAAACAAATAAAATTTCCTTGTTTTAAATAATAATAAGTAGTTTATAAATTCTGCAAATGTCCAGGAATTTGTATAATATGCTGTATAAATTCCTCTCTCAATAAGACATTTTAAAATTTGTTAAAGCCGATATTACACGGTTCAATTTCGGTTCAATACCTACTGCTTTCAATTTAATTGCTTCAATGGCATTGATACGTCTAAATACATTTCAATGCGAATTTCGAAAATGAGGTGCTTGAGGCTTCTTTAATTATCCTTCTCGAAGTCCACGATAGCACCCACCTACGCCAAGATTTTTTTTTATTAACTCATTTATTAAACAGTCGCAGATTAACGAAATTCCCGCACGTACGAGTTGGCGCGACATCGCAATGCGTTGTGAACATTGAATCCTATATCCTATACCTTTAAACAAGCATTTCTTGTATATATATAATCGGAATCTCGGAAACGGCTCCAACGATTCTCATAAAATTTTGTGTCCAGGGGGTTTCGGGGGCAATAAATCGATCTAGCTAGGATTCATTTTTAGAAAATGTTATTTTATCCGTGTTTATTTTAGGCAATGAAAAACTGCTACAATATTAGAAAGTAAATTTTGACAGTGTATTAACGATCGTAATAGCTCATGTGGGATATCCGGCGGCCGCGTAATCGTGGTGCCTTGGTTCGCGTCCTGTCTTTGATTCGACTTTTTTCCTTTTTTTTAAGTTTCCTTCTTTTGTGAGAAAATCTATTATTTCGAGCCCTTTTTTAGTATTTTTTAAAAATACGAAAATTTAAATTAAACTAATTGCACTCATGATTTTTTATTCAAATAACTAGTTAGGTTTTTTCTATTATGTCAATAAGATCAAAAAATATTATTCATGTTTCATCAGTATGTAATTTGTATCTAAATATAATTTCCAAAACACACGATTTCCAAAAAAAAAAATACCGAGGAAAGCTCGGTCATCCAGGTACAGTCATTTAAATGATATACTTGTATATTGGTAAAGTCGTTCAATGTGCAATATGCAATGTTTTTCAATGGAATTGTTTCAATTTGATTGAACCATGTAATATCGCCTTAAGTACCGTACTATTTCCAATACTGTGTTTAAATAATCAACAATATATTTATTTAATTTAAATACTTACTTCAATAAAATTTAATTGAAGTAAATTGCAGTAAAACATTTCTTTCATCATATGACCAAAAGGACGTAAATTATGTCACATAGCATACTTACACTAGCATACATTAGCATACTTATAAAAATACATACAAGAAGTACGGAAATATTTTTATAAGTTACATTTACATTAGCATAATGTCTACTGAGTAATCTTGGGCCAGTTTCTATCATGTTTTTATTAGAGATGGGCTGAATATTCGTTTTATATTCGGCATTCGGCATATTCGTCATTTTTACTGAATATTCGTATTCGGCCGAATATTCGGCTATATTGCCGAACATTCGTTAAAGTGGTACTCGAGGTGTCTATCTACTGCATTGAAATGTTGGAATTAGGTAATGCCATGTCTTTCATAATTTATTTGTTGTTTTATTATGTTGAAAGTATATCTTATTTATGGGTTAAATCTACTTGTATAGCGTTATGTTTTTGAGGCACTGTAGATTTAGTTCCAATTATAGCAAATAGAAAGCTTAATAGAATGTTTTTGGAATCAAACAAAAAAACATTACATTAGATTAGTGCATTTCACTTTACTTTGGTCTTCAGTTTCTCTAAAATAAGTCCAAGTAGTAGATCTCCTGTCACTCATTTTCATCATATAATTATAAATTTTCACTAAGAATAACACAACGAAATACTTTATTCTCACAATAATAGTTAAAACATAAGCAAGTGCCAGCAATTTGCTCAGTACTAGATAATGCAATAACATGTTTGGTGTGGCGGAGATGTGAGGGGCAGGGTCCGGCGCTAATCCCGCGCACTTTACGGTAACAAGTTTCGACATAAATTGGTTAGGTACGGAAGTGATCATGCCGAATAATGTTCGGCCGAATATTCGGTTCGGTAGAAAGTTTACCGAACATTCGGCCGAATATTCGTATTCGGTAAAATCCATGTTCGGCTCATCACTAGTTTTTATAAGCTACTGTACACAGCCGAGGAGGAAAATCGGAAGAAAAATAATATACGAATTCCGATTATCCACCCCATCTGGCGTGGCCACCACAATGAAACGGTTTGATTGATCTTACCCTCACTAGCTCTTACAATTTGCTAGTAAGCTGCTGTTGAATAGAGCGAAAAGAAAGAAAGCAAGAAACTTTAGTTTGGCAAAGACAAATAAAGAAAATAACAAACTAAAATTATGTTCACAAATTATATATGTCACTCAACTTATCTACTTCATACTGAATATAAAACAGATCTTAAGAGAGAACATCAACTAACAAAATGATAATTTAGTTACACTGAACTTCAAACCAGCGGAATAAAGTTTATTTTTGCTAACATTGTATTGGTAAATATGTTATAATCAGTACCTTTTGGTGTATTGTGCTGTGGTCATTTTTTACTTCAGAGCAGCCTATGTGGTGGCAGTCAGGTTGCAGGCAGATCCAGAGATTGGGTCCAGGACAACCGCAGTCGAAGCATGCGAGGTTCTAGAAAGAAAGTTAATGCAATGTATGTTTCTTTTTGTTGACATTCACGGACAAGTTGACCTATCACACAATTATAATTGAGTGTTGTGACAGCTCAGAGAAAACATGCTGGCTTTAAATTTAAAAATATTCTGTTTATGAACTGGAATTTGCAGGATAACATGTCAATTTATGTGGTAGAGCCACGCTGCAGCTATTATTGTGGTAGCATGAATGGGTCGGCTCAACCGGAGAAGGACCACACTCTCATAGAATACCAACGTAATATAGCAGCTTAATGCTGCTGTGTGTCATATGATGAGTGAAGAGAACTGGACACCCGTTTTACTGGAATCAAGGCATTCCATTTTGTCGGCAAGGGTGACAATGCATCTGCATTTTGATTCTTAATCGAGGTTAAATTTAGATGTCTATGGACCACAGCATCCACTTGCCATCAGGTGGACTGTGTGCTCGTTTGTCACCTTACATTAACTCAGTCGTTGCACCAGCAACCAAAGCCTACGTGCAGCAAGCAGCACCTTATAGCAACTACTTTCCACTACCAGTGGCACAGTATAGTAACTACTTACTAGCAGCGTCCATCTACTCTGCTATACCTAACGTTCACTACATCAAGAAACAATCGGCTCCATTTTAAAACACCTATGCTGCACCTTACACCTGCATGAGTGTAGAGATGCGGAGACCCTTTTTTACTGGAAAAGGGGCACTCCATCTTAGTCCTCAGGGGTGACAACTCTGCTGAGTTTTGATTCTTAATTAAGGATAAATATTGATGTCTATGGGCCAGAACATTCACTTACCATCAGGTGGACTGTGTGCTTGTTTGTCACCACCACCATTCTATTAAAAAAATGTTTCCATTCCACTGTGCTTGTTCTGGGCAACTCCCATTGCCACACCCCATTCATATCGCCTTCTACTGGAAGACATGAGACACTCTAAACACTAAAATTACGATATGACATAGCGTTCATTTTAATATCAGAGATAAGTATGACAAACAAGCACATAGTTCACCTGATGGTAAGTTAATATGTGTTTGCTGTGGTCCATAGACAACTACTTCTATCCTCAGTTAAGAATCAACTTGCAAATATGTTGCCACCCTGAGAACGGATACGGTATGTCTTATTACCAGTAAAACCAAAGTTTATAAGCTCATAATGCTGACTCATGGGGATAGATAGATGGCAAAGATTTATTATGAGGGCCTTATTTAGCCACTCACTTATTACAGGTTATAAAGTCCTAGTTGTCTCTCACTTGTTACAACATCCATAAAATTATATGAAGTAGAAAATTATCTGACAGCGTCACTACGGGGCACAGTTGTTTAGTAGAATCCTCAAAATAATTGAGGACTAAAACTCTGTAAACTCACTACTACTCTACTACTACTCACTACTGGAACAGCACAGCAGTGTCAGTAATATAGGGATAATAAAGGCAGCGTGTGGCAATGGGATACACGCCCATACAAAGATGACTTTCCTAAATTCCTTAAAAAAAATTCTTAAAATTCCTTAAAAATTCCTTATGTACAGATAATATTTTAGCGTGTTAGTTATTTATCATTAATCTACTTTTCAAACAATACATCTAAAATCACAATAAATTTTAATCATAATTTAGACTAGTCATTGTGTTACTTTGACATGCTAATGTATAAAGATAGATTTGCTTTGCATTTCATGTGTAATTATATCTTTTTTTTTTTATAACATTGGGTGACAAAGGAGCACATAGTCCAACTGATGGTAAGTGAAGGGTTGGGTTTGAAATTAGGTCGCCTGATTTTGAGGATTCTGTCCCTGTGGGGGGGGGGGGGGGGCTAAGGGGTCTATCTGAAGCAACCCCATGCGATTTTTGCTGCCGGAGAAGCCTCCAAGTATTTTTAATTATTTTTAAAAATATTGGTAAATCACTAACTAAATGTTAAATGGAACATATATTTAACTAAATTCTAACATTTTTGTCGTTGCATCTGTCAAAGTCATCTCAAAATGCGTAAAAAGAATCGCTAGGCTAGCTATTTTGTAGACAGCGACAGATAAACTTTACGTCATCCCATTGTTTCTGAGTTTACGTGAATATGCTTTTACGTATCATCTGCCTCCACCTGTTTTTCGACGACTTTGCTACCCCTCTGGATGCTTTTTTACAAATGGTTGTAGCAATAAATTATGTTTATAATTTAAAGTAGTTTTATAAAAGGTAATATTCTGGTGTGTTATTGAGTATAAGAGCGAGCGAAGCGACTTAGTGGCACCCGACTCGTACAGGTTAGGTAGAAGGGATGGCAAGCGAATAGACCCCGCAATCCTCTTCGTGGTTATTTTTTTATAAGCCACTCAGAAGTAGGAGAGCCCCACGAAGCGGGGCTCCGTCGACCGGTCTTTCCTCGACTGCGCTACGTTGAGTGACGTGCGGCTTCCCTCCCTCAATAAATCGGGATCATAGTAAACAATATTACGAAAACATAACATCAAAATAAGATTTATAAAAAATACTAAGCACGTCCGGCAGGGTGGGGAAGCGGGGACGACTCTACAACTCCCCCGCCTCCCTTCCCACCACCTCCTAATTCAGGCGACTTAGTTTCAAACCTTACCCTATGTAAATGCTGTGGCCCATAGACATCCACATTTATCTTCAACTAAGGATCAAAATGCAAATGCGTTGTCGCCCCTGAGGACTAAGATGGAATGCCTCGATTCCAGTAAAAAGGGTCACCGATTCTCTATACTTACAATACGAAATACGCTGCTATTTTACGCTGGTATTCTGTGAGAGTGTGGTCCTACCGCGATGCTGTTGACCCATTTGCACTACCACTATAATATAGCTGTAGCGTGGCTCTACCACGTAAATTAAATATTGTAAATTAAAATAAATATCTGATTACAATACGTCTCTGAGGCAAGCGTGATTGCACATTTATGATAAGCTAATTCAGTGTGCTTCACCATCATTGTCTGCAGCAACATTTACAATGTGCAGTATGTATAAAAAAAGTGGACTATTACAGTTTGTTCAGGTACTGTTTATATAATTTTCCTTTTATGTGTTCTAAAGAAAATTCTAAACAAAACCTTCCAACCTAACCAAATAAAATCTGGTTCCAGTTTCAGTAGCCTACAATCACCAATTCAGCTAGCATGCTACATTATAGATGTTCTTTAATAAGCTTTTGTTAGGCTAAGTCAGTATGGTTTATCATCTTCGGCTGTATCGCCTCTATGTGATGTAGCTGAAGATGAAAAGTGCACTATGTTAGGTGCAATTAGGTATAATTTTATGTGTAATTTATTATTTTTATTTAAGTAATTTCATAACAACAGTTTCAGTCAGATTCAGTTCTATGTTTATCTATACAAATAAATAAAATTGAAGTGTCTGTTTGTAATGTCAAATAATAGCTTTTTATTAAATGCATATTATGAGTATATACAGTACATATATATGCCGAATATTGATATTGATATTGTTATTATAGCAGTAATTGCAAATTCAAAATACTGTAATATTAATAAATTATAATATGTATGGGTGTGTATGTATGTATGTGATGTATGTATATATAATATATTTAATGTGTGTATATATATGTTTAAGTATATGTTTATATTTATAGACATACACATTACGTTTACATAAATTGGAGTAGATATTTAAAGGGAAAGCTTTGTAAAGTCAGCCGTGCATAAATTTCTGTTTTTTGTTAATATGTGTATATGGCTCTCACAATACAGGTCTACGTGCCCAGTGTGAGGACCACTGATAAATTATTTGTAAAGGTGCTAACTGTCAAATAAAGTATTTTTCATTTTCTTCGTAGGCTCGATGCGGGTAAGGTCTAGATTTTGGCCTTTGGTACGAGCTGATGCAGTAAATTTGATTTAATAACAATTTTAATAAATATTATCGTAAGAAATACAGTTTAATGCATTTGTAAATAGTTTCACTATATCTGGTAGCATTAATTAATCAGATAAACACAACACGCGATTTATAATAAATAGTTTAGTTTGACGCCGACACTGAAGCTATCAAAACGGGTAAGATCGAGCAAAAAAAATAGTGGCGAGCGTTCCATTCAAAAGTAAGTTTCGTGCTGTATTTAATATAATTACTTAATATTGTGCTTATATTTCACTATATAAATAACCTAATATAGTTATTTGACACTGATTATTATAATAATTTATTGATAAAGTTAATAAATTAAGTGGCCGAAAAGTGACATATAAAATTGTCCCATTATTTGGTTGTCGGCCATGCGGCCGAAAAGTAGCCTGAGTTTAGCCTAAATACTTTGTCTCTTTCGTTTATTTGGTTACGTACTATAACTCATCTTTCTTACTTATATTGAATCGTAGCGTGCGTAGACACTAACTTTCAGTTTTCGGCCACCAAGTACTGCAATTTGAACAGTTAGTGATGAAACAAAATACCGATTTCAGTCGTGGCCGAAAACTGGATTGACTCTAAAATATATACAATTTAGTTTTCGGCCAACTTAACATTGTATGAAAGAATACGGCGGCGGAAAATGGAATGCTGTCTTAGTTTATGTTTACGGCCATTTCATCTTATCATATTAAATATTTTATTCACATTGCGTTTTAGGAAGAAGATTCAAAAAGAAATTTTTTTTCTTCAGATGGCTCCTCTTGGTTAGAGATGAGAATGGTTAGATATGGTAACAGATTTTGTTAAACTAAAATACTTATGAGGAAGTACAAAATACTCGTAAATGAGAATATTTGATTGCTATATTCAAAAGATTTTATTATTAGATTATGATTCAAAGAGAAATAATTAATCATGGTTATTATTTTATACCAAAAACACACCCAAAAAGAAAAAAATTACGTCACGGTTAAAAAATCGCAATCACCAATTGAGAAAACTAAATACACCGATTTCCCAAACCATTTTGCCATTTTCTGATTTTACAAAAACACTTTTAAGTTTATAGTACCTCTTCTAATACAGTGGCCGAAAACTAAAATTCTTGTAGGCCGAAATCTAAAATTTGGGGCCGAAAACTAGCGTTTTGCATATTTTTCACATCAAAATTTATTATAAAAAATAGATTTCTTTTGTAGCATTAATGACTTATCAAAATGAAAACTACATTATATAAGCCATAAATTAACATTAACAACACTAGGTCAACATAATCGCTATTATTTTTTATAGTACCTTAAAGTTGACAACTCCACTAAAAGGCCGAAAACCAGCGCAACGACCCTACATATAACAAAACAACAATTTTTAAAATTTTGGTCTACCGTTCCATCTAATCTCCAAAATAGCTGGATAGATTTTGATTGGACTTTCACCAGAAAATAGCTGATGTTAGAAGCAGTAACTTAGATTACTTTTAATTTAAAAAAGAAAAAGAATTAAGGTTCCATGCAAAAAAAAACCCCATTAAATCCAATTGCAATAAATTCCATGTGGACAAAGTCGCAGGGAGCAGCTAGTTCTCAAATAGAATTGTTCATGAAGTGATTATGTTGGATTATGTATGTACCTAATGTTTTAAAGTATAAAACTATTGTAATTTTAGTTTAAAGAAGAGAATTCAAAAGCAAGAAGTTACATTACCATCAGACATAAAATAAAAAAGTTTTACTGAAATTCTTTGAAATGCCTTTATAATATGAGTTATATAACTAAAAAATTCCAGCTTACATGCAAAATTGAAAACTGTACTAAAACTTAGAATCAATTAAATTATCAAATCAAATTATCAAGTTGCCTTAAGGATGGTGGATAGGGGGAAGGAGGGTAAGGGAGGGGTAGATTCACCCCCCACCAGAGGTGCATAGTATTTTTTATATTAAATGTTAAAGATTAACCACTTTATTGAATGATGGCGGATTGTCAGGGTCTGAATGGTTGACTTTTTTGTTAGTGTACCCATGTTTCGCTAGGCAGTCAGATGCTCTCCAATAATCTGTATGAATTGTGGTGCCCATTTCTGTTTTTTGTGTTCATGTTGTGTTTCATTTGTCTGTGTTATGTGTTTTTTGAATTATGGGCACTATGTTATATATTTTTACAGATGCAACTCAAAAAATGTAAAAATTTTGTGTATTATACAACACATAACATAATTAATGCACTTTGAGAAAGTAGTTTGTTCCAAAAATAATTAAAACTATGTAAATTACAGTCACACTAAATCTGTACAGTCAAAACAAACTGAAATGTACCATAACTTTAGGCAATAAGACTTTTAAGAGTACATTTTTATTTGTATTATTACTAATTCTGTCATTCAATAAAAATAAAGAAAAATGAACTTTATTTCAAGCACGTTAAAATCTTTACGTTCGTGGGTTTGTACTGTGTTCACAACATTCTTCCGGAATTAGTATAACTAATTTGATAAACAATCAGTGCATAAAAATGTTTAACTAAAAATTCAGTTTATGTATTATGATTATAACATAATATACTAAATGGGGTGTCTGAGGGTGTATGTTAATTACGTTACATATTGTATATCCATTTTAGGTATTAAGCTCTCAATGCCCTAGCAGTGTCATGAGACCGCGCCTATATTCCGTCAAATCCTTAGCGGTCTCTTTTTTTTTTTTTTTTTTTGCTTTTTTTTTTTTAAATCGTTAATTTCGTACGCCATTTTCGCGTGAATGTTATCATGTTGATTTTTGGATTTTCTAGTGTTTTATTAGTGTTTTAGTGTAGTGTTTTATCATAAAATTGTAACGAAAGTTTTTATGTGAATATAATTTATCGTTATATGTAAATAATTTCAAGTATTACATTGAAATAATTGTGATTTTCACACTGCCAACATTCTCTTGGTATGTTTTTTTTTGTTATCAAAATACAATAAAATCTTTTTGTAATGAAGTAAAAACTGACATTTTTGTTTAGACCACAGGATAGAGAATTTTGTATAGATTTTATAATGCCAAACTACTTCATAGAAAAGTAAAGTAAAAGTAAAGTAAAGTTACAGCCTATATACATCCCACTGCTGGGCACAGGCCTCCCCTCATTTCTGAGGGTTTTAGGGCAAGGAAGTGACCGCCGCGCAGCCCCAAAGCGTGCTGGCGAACTTCACATGTCTTCGAAATATTTTGTTTTCTTATTTATTATTTATTTTATTATTATTTAACTACTATAGGCGAAGTAACCATTTGTGTCAGACCATATGCCTCGACATATTTTCTGACACAAATGGTTACTTCGTCTACGCGGATTCCAGATGAGGAGGATCATGCACTTTCCCTGTTGGACCTTCTGCTGACCTCTCATCCGGACTGATATCAGATTTCTGTCGATGCCTCTTTAGGCTCCTCGGACCATTGATCATTCACACTGAAAACGCGGTTGCATTCTGCCTGCTGCCGCAGTGTTTGGCGCTATAGGTCAGCTGATTAAGATCGGACATGGTATTTCTTTGCATCCTACTCTTGGTTTGCTTCTCGCAGGACGTGTCCGCCGCACTTCCCCAGTGCGTGTTGGCGAACTTCACATGTCTTCGAAATATATATTTTTTTGTTATTCCTCACACAAGCAGGTTTCCTCATGATGTTTTCCTTCACCGCCGAGCACGTGGTAAAATCAGCACTTAAAATTGCAATTAACAATTTCATTGGTGCCGGCGGGGATCGAACCCGGGTTACTCGCGTTCTGTTATATTTACAGCGAGCATTAACCATCTGAGCTACCACGGCTCCATAGAAAAGTAGTCTCTAAATATAAGTTTTAATGGTTTTAGGTACTGTAGGTGGTTGCGGTTGCGACTGCTCGGGATTTGCCGGGTGCATGCGACTGCATGGGATTTTTATTAAGATTGAAGGGTTAATTCGTGATTTATAAATATTAAAATAAAATTAAATTTTTCAACACACATCCAATAGCTAAATTGCATGGGGGCGCATGACATACGCCCCTTTGACCATTGTGGGGGGGGGCACTGTGACAGATTTTTCAAATTTAGGCAACTTGATACTAATCCCAACCCCTATAAATAATTTAATGTTTTTTTATAAAGGAATAAAATTAGTAATAATAGAGAATTAATTTTAAAAAGAACACAAAAGATGTCAAAAAATACTTTAAAAAATGTAAACATTAGCACCACACTATATAGTCTATTATCAAAAGATTATTTGTGATAAGATTTTTATAATAATGTTCAATAGTATTAAGAGAAAATTTTAAATTATAGTGTATGGTATATGACAACATAGACGAAGAATGCTAATTACTTCCCTACCTTTGGCATGATAGAGGTTAGGTATCATCGAAATAAAAACTTACCTCCTTTGATTGCCATAATTCTTTCCCAAGGACGTCCACAAGTTTATTGAGATGCTCACAAGTCACGCCCTTATCCATTACGAAAAATAACAAGGTTTGGAGCTGAAGTTTATGTAAATAAGAACAAAATTTTAAACATTAATTGTAGATATTGTAAATACAGGAAACACCATGTTTTACACTTCACTAGACCAGAAAATAAAATAGAGAAGAGAAGTTAGATTCACATGAATGAGACATAAAAGACACATTTCGAAGTTAAAGCTAGGTAATGATTAAAAATTACAGAAATTTCCTACAAAGACGTTCCGTGACGAGCAAAAAGTCAGATTTGTATCACAGACATTTTTTTAATTTATTTAGCTTTACGGCTCTGGGTTCTAACCCTTCTGAAAATATCATTTCTTTCGGAATCTTCATTTTTATACCGGGTGTTTGGTGGGTGGTCCGTCAAACTGAAATGGGAGATAGATGGGTTCGTTAGAAGCATATTTTCTTAGTAAATTTTTTTTCTATCACTTACCATTTTTTTCAAATGAATTTTTAACATTTTTTGTGATTATCCCAATTTTCTAGTATTTTGGTTCAATAACTTCTACTATATCTAGTTTTCTACCATTTTTTTTATTTTTCCTAAGAAATATGATTTTTTTTAATTAAAAGAAAGATTTAAAGCCCAAAAGGCATAAGAAAAAATACTTACGACACATTAAAAGTGAACAAACGAGAAAAAAAATTGTAAGCCCTTAAGTTTCCAGCCACTTAAAAAAAAATATGTTGAGTAATTTCAAATGGCCATCAAATTTTTTTTTCTCGTTTATTCACTTTTAATGTGTCGTAAGTATTTTTCTTATGCCTTTTGGGCTTTAAATCTTTCTTTACCCCTAAGATACCGTGGACATGTTGACAGGTCCAAGTTTTGTGACCGCTAAGTACAGAGGACATGTATACGTGTCCGCATCGTGCTGCTATTTTCGTCATTAATTGATATAAAAATACAGTATATTTTCGATTGAACACTATTTCATTCGATTCTGAACGAACTAAAGAATATTCTGTAGCATTATATTCATTGGGTTACATAGACATCATCAAATATAACAGCCATTCGCTTTTGCATGCCGGTGAGGTTGGTTGCGTAATCGTTGAAGTTTTGTGATTGTGATTTTAGTTGGATTTTCTTTCAAAAAAACTGTAAGTAATGTTATTTATCTTTACTATGTAATGTTTTTGAATGATTTAAGTTACAACAACAGTAACTTTTTATGTTTCAATTGATAAAAAAAGTAGAAATAAAAAACCTCTATAATTCGTAAAGGTCAAGATTTCTAATAAGATTCTAATAAGATAATAATAGTATATTTCTTATTGGAATACCATAGTAAATACTTTTACTAGTAATTGCTAAATGTTATATCTATATGATTGTATAAGAAAAAATAAAGGAAGACGATATAAAATATATACACAAAAAGGTTTTGAAAATGAGTTTAGTAAGCGCGCGCAAACTGTCTATTGTCGAATTTTTAGCAAATGTTTGCAAGTGAAAAAGTAGAATTATTATAATTTTTACATGCATAATTTCGGTTCATTTAGAAAGAATATGTTGTATTAATTGTAAGGACATAAAAATAAAATAAAAACTTACGATATTTCATTCATAAAATAAAATTTATCGTCAGTAAGTACACTTTATCAAGATCCGTTAGAAACAAAGAGCTGTTCAAAATAAAATAAACATTTATATGTTATGGTTATTGTTTCTACTTATCGAAAATCTTATCGGCTTTAAATAACTGTAACTAAAACCTCTTTAAACATAAATGAAAGGTCGTGAGAAACATAAATATTTAAAACAAGTGCCGCCAGCTGAGGTGACGACGGACGCCTTCTTTCATATTTCTTAGGAAAAATAAAAAAAAATGGTAGAAAACTGGATATAGTAGAAGTTATTGAACCAAAATACTAGAAAATTGGGATAATCACAAAAAAATGTTAAAAATTCATTTGAAAAAAATGGTAAGAGATAGAAAAAAAATTTACTAAGAAAATATGCTTCTAACGAACCCATCTGTCTCCCATTTCAGTTTTTCGGACCACCCACCAAACATCCTGTATATTTTTTCTTCACAATATACTGACGCGTCACACTGCAAAGTTTTTGGAAGATTTTGACGACAGCTCCAACCAGCAGACAGTTGATGACGACTGCCACTCAAGTTCATAAGGCACCCAAGCATTTAAAATAACTTGAGGTTTATATCAACATCAAAACAGTTATTTCGTTGTTTTCTCTTATAGTACACACGCGCAGAAACTTAATTCACAAAATCGCATCACTTTTACGAATCAAAATCCACTTAAAACCATTATTAAAGCGACAAAATAGGAGCGAGAATCCGTCGACGGCCAAGTTCCCGCCAAAACTCTATCACGGACAATACAATTCCATACCATTTCAGATCCTTTCATTCCAGATTACTTTTATATACAGTATGTGGCGTAAAGAGTGGATATACCTTTACCTACCGGTGAGCGACATCAAAACTGTTCAGAAAATAAAAAATCCCAAAGTCTCATGGTTTTCGAGTTATAGGACATTTACGAAATTTTCTAATTTTTTTACTCTTGTCCATTCTTTTGAATGCCAAAATCATAAATAAAAAAATTCTGAACCTATTTTTTGGAGCGTTCTTTAATAGCTATACTATCAAATAATTATATCCATGTTTGGTGACACCTCTACAGTTTTTATATTGAAAAATATTTTTTAAATAAAAACATGTTTTTCAAAATTTTCCCAAAAGTTGCAGTTGAAGAAGAAGTTGTTTGACTTCTTGTGGTGTAAAAGAAAATGTATAGTCACCTAAGTGACCAACTCATTAATAATAAGCCTACTTCATTGAAATTTAGAAATGGTGTAGCTTGATATTTCTACATTTTTATTCGAAAATTAATAAAATTCAATATTTAATTTTAATAAGTTTAATAAAATTCAATTTACTATGGAGTTAGAGGCAAATAACTCCTAAGCTTTCCTAGATGTGTTAGTCATCCGAAATCCTAAAAATACCATAGGTTACATGTACCTGTGTATGGAAAAAAGACCCATACAAACCGATATTTAAACGGTGAATCTCACCAACACCCTTCACGGTTAGCTACCGTGGGCAAATCTTTGTTACAGATAGCACGAGGAATCTGTGATAGCAAACACCTGGCTGCAGAGCTTCAGCACGTCAAGCAGGTTCTGCACGACAACAAGCTTCGGGTCCCGCATGTACGTCACAGTGATCGAGTGAAGCCGGCCATAGTCGAGTGTGTGCCTGCTGTACTACCTTATGTCAGAGGTGTCACAGACAAGATTGGCTACATCTTCAAGCGAGATTCTATTAGAACATTCTACAAGCCGTCGAAGAAGATGCAGTAGTGTACAAGCTTGATTGTAAATGTGGTCTCTCATCAAACAAAAAGATCAATTAGAACCCGCGTAAAAGAACATATAGCTGACGTGAAGCATTAACGTTCCGGGAAGTCTGCAGTTTGTGAACATATCCTAGGCGTCCCCAACCATTACATCAGGATTGATAGACCACAAATCTTCGTGAAAGAACATCGATTCTTACCAAGGAAGATACGCGAGGCTATTGAAATTAAAAAATATTCTAATTGCAATAGAGAAGGAGGCTGGGTACTACCACCTGCTTGGGACCCTGTAATCAGTAAAATTGATACTAAACCAATGCATACCACTGCAAGAATTAAAGACACAATAAATTCAATCTACGTAGATCGGACCAAAAATAATAATTTAAAAGCTGAAGGTACTCCGGGCTAATATTGACATCGGGTGGCAGTCATCTCAGTCTCCCGTGACCATAGATGCCGGAAAGCAGCCGAAACATCAGGAATTAAAAATCATATATATTAAACGAGATAAAATCCCTAAAAGCAGTTTTAATCAATTCGCGTAAATATAAGAAATCATTAAGATTATTCTTGTTAAGATAGATCTATGAAGAGAACGCCTATTTCCTTTAAAATGCTTTTTTCACAAAATTATTATTTTTGTAATATTGTACTTTGTTAGGCCAGTAAACTTAAAACTGGGCCCTTATACCACCTACCTGCGCTAGCGGCGGTGGCTTGACGGTGACAGTAGAACCTCTCGTTCTTTTCTTTCATGCAACGTGTAAAAAAGATAGGTAATGACGCTGTTGTTCTTTGTTATGACCCACAGTCCTACCTACCAGTCAGTGTCGCCAATGTCGGTGTCTAGTTCTAGGGTTTGAAAGCTTACTCGTACCAGTGTGCTATCGTACTACTTTCATGCTACAATGTATTTACTAGGTTTTGAATTGATTTAATGAACGACTTTGCTATGACCCCGGACTTGGATTTGCCTAGTGATTTGGACCTTTTATCGAATGGAATGCTGCGAAAAACTCAGTACATTCCAAGGACGTATGCTGAAATGCACCTTATTTACAGCGAGCATGTTGGTAATTCCACTCAAGCCGCAGCAACTGCATCGGGAAAGATTCTCCAATGCACACCATCCTGATTACCGAGTATTTATTAGAGTGCATAATACATACGGAGAGGGTCGAATTCCTGGAGCATGCGTTGACATTACTAGCTTGGGGAAGCCACAACAGTTTGACCAGGGAACTGTAATTGATGAGATTGAAGCCAATCCAACGACTTCAGTGCGAAAAATAGCAAGAAACAGGCATATTAAAAGGGGCAGTTCACAATATTTTACGCCTACAACATGAGAGAGTACGTCAACGAAACATATCCTTGTGAATGGATCGGGCGCTTGGGAACCATTTTGTGGACACTATAGTCTCCAGATCTTAGCCCACTCGGCTTCTTATGTTTGGAATACCTTAAGAAGATGGTGTACAAAGAGCCCATCATCTCAGTTAAGCAGCTGAGTGAGCGTCTTCAAAGCGCGACGATTTGTAACGGAATCTGGTCATGCACGCAAAATAAAGCACTCTTTTATTAGAAGACGCAGAGTGTGTATAAGAGCATATGGTAGCCATTTTGAGCACTTGTAAAAATTTTATTCCCATATACGTACTTTAAATGTCTGATTTTGTTTCATTTTATTGTTTTAGTAAATTGCTTTATAATAATATTAACGTTGTTTGCGAAATTTCAACTGCCTAACTGAATTTTAATTTTATTTGTAATTTGAAATAATTATCCTTACCCACCCTTACAGCAATATTCTTTGCATTGA